CCCCCCCCCCCCCCCCCCAAGCACCTACGTGGCATATAGTGGGACAGCTTTACTTTATTTACATGAAAGCATATAAAGTTTTATAACATGAGTTGGTAGGTGTCTGTAGTATCTTTCAGTAGAATTGGTGGCTTCTCTTTGTGAGTGATCAATCATCTCATAGGTGGTTTGATTTTTTGCATGAAAATGCGTTAAACAAAACATTCACTGGAAACCAGCATTCCACAATGCTATGTTTGGCACCACTGTATATTGTTTCCTTGCTTCATTCCTCCACTTCTGCTTCCTTCCAAGCCACAAATTTGGTGAAGGTCTCAGCTGCCACTTCCACTGAAAAACTTTATAATGAACTGAGAGGTCACTGCCTGTTTCCAGCCCTGGCTTTGTATCTTCATCCTACTTCATTTTAGTATTTTAAGTCTGCCTGTTTATGTACTTTAAGAACCTAGTAGCCATATGATCCTGAGGTTTTCACAAGTCACAGTTTTACAGTGGATTTCAGTTGCAAACTAACTTGATGGCTCACAGAACCCAAAGGTTCATCACCGAACTCACCAATCAATGTCCTCCACTGGACCCTGTCCTGGGCCAACAAAATCTAGTCTCTTTCAACTCCTTTCTCCCATAGATCCCCCCTGAGATTATCCTTCCATCTACATCAAGGTTTTTATGAAAACTATTTCTTCTTGGAATACTTTTCAGTAATGCCTGCAGTAGTAATCAGGCAACGCAAGCCATTCCGCAGGAAGGATGGTGTCTTCATCTACTTTGAAGACAATGCAGGTGTTATTGTAAACAACAAAGGAGAAATGAAAGGTAAGGTAAAACAAAGTAATCCTTAGATTTGAAGCAGTGAATAGACCTCTTTCTTGTTCTGTTCATAATTTGTGATCTGATGGCATAAATTTAGAATTGCTATGTAGTGAAAAATTGAGTAACCATGTGTACCCTAATCCATATTGATTATACATGTAGATTGGTAACTTCAGTAAGAAAGTCCTGTATTGTACATAGTAAACAGTCATTTTCTAAACACCTATACAATTCTCTTGCAGGTAGTGCCATTACAGGTCCTGTTGCTAAGGAATGTGCAGATCTGTGGCCAAGGATTGCTTCAAATGCAAGCAGTATTGCTTGACTTCCCATGTTGTACACAAAAAATTCTGTATAAAGAGCTAATCATATACTTGTGGTTTGTGTATTATCACTTGTCCTTGCAGTCCCATCTCATCACCAGTAACATGATACAGTTTATTTTGATGATGAATTTCTTACTGTGTAATATTTATTACAATTTCTCCACCATTTGAAGTGGCTTTTTGCCATAGCTAGCTGCTGTCTTGGATAGAGAAAATTGAGGTGAATGATTTATTCACAACAGCAATGAAATATGACTGGCTTGCATGACGTACAGGTAGCCCTAGATTTGCGCCAATTTTTAAACCAGAAAGTTAAGAAGTGAAACAAATATAATTTACCATTATAAAACGTTTTACAATGTTTCTCGTGCTGCTTCTTATACTAAATCGTAATTGTTACATCGCTGATTTTGAAAAAATTATAAATACAGTCATCTCTGCAATTACGTATGTTTCGTTAACGCAAATTTCCTCCAATGAATCGGTAAAAACTGTTAGTGAAATGCAAACTTTTGCATATAAGAAGTGAAACAAATATAATTTACCATTATAAAACGTTTTACAATGTTTCTCGTGCTGCTTCTTATACTAAATCGTAATTGTTACATCGCTGATTTTGAAAAAATTATAAATACAGTCATCTCTGCAATTACGTATGTTTAAGAATCACAGTCAATTGCGGGGACCAACAAATTGCCAATTATCAGTGAATAAAATATATTTTTTAAATTCCTTTTATTTTATTTGCATTATTTCAGAGCTTTAAATATAATACCATTATATTACTCATCAATGTTTGGGTGCTGGGAACGCATGTCATTGACTTCCCATTGATTTACATTATAAAAAAGTTTCAATTTACGCTGGTTCGACCAGGAACACATCCCCGGCCTAAATCAAAGGCTACCTGCATGATGGTAAGAGTGAACTGGACACCTATAATATAGAAGAACCTTAATAAAATTGTGTATAGTTCACTCACCAGCTGAGAAGCACCAGTTGTTGAGGCAGTGGATTTTATTCATAATACCAAGTAATAACATGCTTGAGGTTTTGGGATGGTGAAGTTCAGAATAACTTTACTAACATAAAAATAAGGCACCACTCCCTGTTTAACGAAACGTGTAATTTGCACACATGAACACACTGGATAATTTATTTTCCTCACTTTTGTGAGCTTATCTTTTTAGTGCAGTGTTATAATGACAATCACAAAGCTGGCTGCACACAATGCAGAAAACATCTTCCTTCAGTACTAAACCAAGGTAGGATTTTAAGTTAAAACATAAAATGCAGTGAGTTTGTGGGCTGTTGTCTGGTAAGTCACCCAGTCACAGGTGAGCACTTATGTCTGGTGTTAAAGAATGGATGTTTGATAGGGCGAAATGCTTTTGAATGTAGTTCCATTGGGTCAGGTAGTTTTTCTATGTATTTTCTGATTAGTTTGAAAGTGATTGGTTAATTTCTATGTGAAATGCCATAACTTGATTTATATTGTATTATAACATCCTATATCACTGAGGTACTCAAGCCCCACCACCATGGCAAGGTGCTGGTACCATTAAGTGGGGAGGGGGAGAGGTCAGACTAAGACAGGTACCCTGGTCCTCCAGGTTGGGGGTTGGTCGCAAGGCTAATAACCTTGCACCATAAAAAGGAAGATGTTTCAAAACCTAATGGACCTAACAATGGGACCGAATTGAGGAGGCCATGGACCGAATACAGACCGGAGAGCCATAGAAGAAGAATATCCTATATCAAATGCTATGGTAAGACCACATTTATAACTGAACAGGCTGCCTTTTTGTGAAGATGGGTTGTCAGTGTTAAGTAATATTAAGAATCTGATAATGTTGTAATTGGATCTGAAGCTGGCATCCGTCTGCAGTAGGAAGATTGTCTGACGGTTTTGCGATGGATTTTTCACCAGAATCTTGGAGTGATGAAAAATATTTTTAGCATCATACTTTGAGCATAGAGTTCACCCTTATATTATTGTAGCTTATACTAAACAAGCTGGAAATTCCTGCAAAGCCCATAGCACTGGGTCTATCAGTAGTCAAGTTGAAATCAACCTGCAGGTCCTTGTTTACATTTTTCATAAGTATATAGAGTGCACATAAGTCACTACTGTTGCATTATTCTTAGGTTTTAATCAGTACCACATAAGTAGGAAACAATTCTTATAAATGCTTCAAAACAGGTTTATCACAAATCTAAGAGTTACATGTAAATACACACACAGAATCCACTTCATTTACTTCCTGTTGAACCAAATCCATTCTTCCCACGCTCAGTTTCATCCAGTTCCTATTTAAAAAGAAAACATGATTAAAGCATAAAAATCTTAGTGTATTTATTACAAGATGCAACAAAAGCATGTTAAGTCATAAATCCATTCTAGACAAATGGAAAATCAGAGTCATTAAATACACATACAAAACTTTCTAACTATCAATAGGCTGAACATAGAGAACAGCCTATACATTTTATGGTTTTTCATACATAATACTGACCTCTACTTCTTGTAGCACTGGATAATAAATTTTCTGACAGATAAGTTGTGCTATTCGGTCCCCATGAGAAACATTAAAAGGCTGGTCAGAATGGTTGAAGAGAACAACACCTAGGTTGCCACGGTAGTCCTCGTCCACAACACCCGCTAAAGAAAATAAATACTTCAAAATTGTTCTGTCCTGCAGCATATCTCAGGTTCAACTGCTCTGTACATACTGTGTTTTTAATTGTTAGGTAAAAGACTAAGGTTAACTTTCCTGTAGAAAGCACAATAGAGCTTAGTAAAGCAGTTCAGCTTTAAAACTACAGTCCTTCATATAGTACATGCCAAAAGTTTATTCATTATTATTATTGTTATAACTGTTGATGTTAAAATGGGGTTAGACTATCTCTGTGGAAATTGACTGGGCTTTTAACAAGCCACTGTCCATTCCCCTTATGATGTAAGTCAATACAGAGCAGCAGTGGAATGATACTGATGGGGAAAATGAAAGTACTCAAAGATAACCTATCCCACTGCCACTCTGTCCTTATCTCACATGGACACACACCCATAACTCTTCAGTGAGAAGCTGGTAACTAAACACCTGAGCTAAGACAAGGTCAAGATCATTCAGTAGTATGCAGATAAGATTTTAATTATGAACTGTTTTAACCTATTATGCCAGTTTTTATCAATCAATCTTTCAAAACTTAGGGCTATAATACCCTTTCTTATAGGCTAGCAGGTCAGCAGATTATGAGGGCAAGTGACTGAAATTCTATGACAGTTTATTAAATTGCTACTGACTTGCTATTGTGAACAGGTTCATATGTTACCCAATAATATTTCCCTAAACAAAAAACAGCAATTATGGAGATATTTGACATTGAATTTGCTACATTAATCATGTTCAATTTGTATAATTTGCATGCATCAATATGCATTGTAGTTCTTGATTTGATGAACTAGAACAAGGATCAGTTAATAGATTACTAGCAGAATGTATACCACCTTGAAAAACTGGTTAATTATCAAGATATCTAAACTACTTACAAACACCCAGAGAAAATGGATTTGGTAACAGATGCTTCCTCCTTTTTACTAACCTCCTACATCAATATGGTGTTTCAGTGCAAGTCCCGAACGAGGTGCAATTTGACCATAACAACCTGGTGGAAGTTTTATCTGCAAGTCGGTTTTTATTAACACTTTCCCTCTTGCTGGGACCGTTACATCATACGCACTGCAAAAATAAAAATGTTACAATATCAATATGTAATTATTTTACATTCCAAAGATTGGAGTTTGCAACACGAAAACCTCAAAAAAGAAAAAGTGAAGTTCATGAATTTCAAAATTAGTTTTGGAACTTCCACGTATGTAAAGGAAAAGCTTGTCAATATAAAAGTTAGTACTTAACGAACCTTCGGAGATCGAAGCCAGCAGCTTTTGCAGAACCCTTAAGTGGTGCTAGGGCTTTCTCAGATAGTTTTACAAAACGAAGGATTACTTCAGTTTCAGATGGCATGACGACAGACGAAATATACAATTCACCTGATGTTCCTAAATCAATAAACTCTTCACCCAAAAGCTAATGACCGATATAACACTTACATCTAAACTAAAGAATACGCGCCAAAATAAAATCCCACTCGCTTCTTTCATTGGTTATCCACTAGTTGCGTTACACTCATAGATTATATGTTTTCTATGAAGTACATTACATTATGGTATTACTGGAACAATAATAGATATAGGACTTGAGGTTCGACAAACATTGGTGAACTTCTACCGGACTACACGGCACTACAATTCAATATATTTTCCCTAACCTAAGCTCAGCATGCTCTGCTATGAGGACTGTCACATCACTCGTGAAAACATAAACTTTAAAACAAGTATACTTAGCTACTACCATTTGATGATACCATATGGAATTATTTTCTGGAGAAACTCAACAGATGGCAAAAATGTATTATACATTGAAAAGAAAATCCTTAGAACTATGGCAGGCACTAGAGGGAGACCCCATATAGCAAGCTGTTAAAGATATTTAATGTTCTTTTACTAGCCAGCAAATTCTTACTCACATTATCATTTGTGGAAGACAATATAGACATTATTTAAAACTTAGATATCTGCAACATTAGTACAAGATACAGATATAACCTTCATATGCCAAACCTTAAACTCAGTAAATATCAAAAAGGAATTTACAAAACTGGAATTAAGCTATTCAATTATCTTCTTCCACTATTAAACGTCTGAATCACGATATGAAGAAGTTTAACCCAGCACTAAGAGATCTCCTATCTCACTCCTACTCCAAAGAAGAAATTACTTCAACCAAAAATCTTTAGCTGTTATAAATACAAATCAGCAATAGTGGTTATATTTTACTGCATAATTATTTTTGCGGTGTAGTTCACTAAATTACTGTCATAACCCTGTAATGTATATTTGTATTAAAACAAGTATCGTATTTGTGCTGTGACATGTTCTACATCTTGGCTTGGTCCTGTGAAGGATCTGTGGAATGTCTGTTCTTTTCTATTCCACAAAAGTATGAACTAATAAGCTACAATTTACAAATAAAACTAACTGTAAAATTATGTTCCACAGAGAAAGACTCCAACATGTTTTGCTGCAAAGTGTATTTTAATTTAAGATTAGAGATCACATGGCACTTTCATACGGTGTCACAACCCAGAAGACATACAAAATTCATCAGTGTATAAATATTTTGTTTTATCATTTCAATTCTTTGCATGATTGTTGCTATCATGAAATAAATTACATGGGGTGAAGGAAATGGATTTATGTACGTCTGATCGCAAGTAACACAGAAAATAGCAACCTATGTTGGTATCATATATGCATTAGATAACCTCCTAGGTACGAAACAAGATGGTTCCTGTAATTGGTATAAGGTGATGTGTATTAGTGAATTGTTGACGAAGAATGTATTTGAATCTGCAGTTACACCTATTTCGTTTATTGCATTAAGATACAGCGTTTTATGTTCTAAGGAACACATCATTAATGTCGGTATAGATAGATCATCGGACTTACAATTGAAGTTTTATAAATTCGATACAGGTTAGTGTGAGGTGCTAGCTGGAGTTTACAACATGTCTGAGTTTGTTCATTACGGTACATAGCTTGCAAAAGTAAGCTTCCATTGCTTATAAGCTCACATTGAAAGCAAGTATTATGGAATTTAAAAGCTCTGGACAACTTGTTATGCAACTTTGGATTTCCATTTTGCATTACCAGTGACTTTGTTCTCATGATTATTATTTATGTAACATCTGTACCATTATAAAGAATCAGATACAACTACTAAACACATACACTATGGTGTTGGTGCATTTTCAGCATTCTGGTGGCATGACTGTGTTACTGGAGAAACTGTTATGACCAGTTTGAACTTCAACACAAGTTTCTTCACACATGCAGATTGACTATGTATTTCTCCTTTAAACAATGCGTTTCTGGAGATGTAGCATTCAATTGAATTTCTTCATAGTATTTGAGTTTTTCATGATGGTGAATCTTTTTCTGGTTTGTTGTGATGTGTAGTCTGGTAGAAGTTTGAATTTCCTTATATTGTTCATTGTGATTTAAAGTCTATTCCGATGTTCTTGTACTATACACTCTTTTAGGTTAAGCTGTTCTAACCAAGTATTTTATAATTTGCAAGCATTCCGCATATATTTGACGGTACATTAACATTTCAGTGTCTTCCATCAGTTGTAAGATGACAAATTTGATTATCTATGAGCTATATGTGACTATGGTATGGTTATTATTGCTATATGATTTATACAGAGTGAACAAGAAAGAACTTTACACTTTTGGAATAAACAGAAATGAAATGTGGCATGTTTAGAACTTCACATCTACACCAGTTGATAGAAAAACTCTCAAAGCTTTGAAAACACCTCATGGAAACTTAATATGTGTTCCACAAGTCACATATCAGATTTCAAGATGATAATGCAACTTGTCCAAAACTTTGTGTAGATTGTTCCTATTGATGGAAGCTGTGGCAGTTATGATTCACTGCCTCAACTCTGGGAAAGATTGCGGCCTAAATGGATACTTGGTTGGGTGGTTCCATGTGAAATTGTGTGTGAAATGCACTTTGCTAACTGCAGAATATACCAACTCCTCTGTTGTGGGATAGTAATTTTCAAAATTGGTGATATGTAGTGGAGGCATGCAGCAATAACAGTGGCCTGAGTCATTTGAGATAAAACTTTGAGAGTTTTTCTATTGGCTGGTGTGGGTGTGAAGTTCTAAGTACACCACACTTACTTTCTATAACATTTTGAATGTGTAAAGTCCTTTTGTGCTCACCGTGTATTTCTATTACAGTGGCATATTTTATGATGTATTTTCTCTTACTCAGTATTCCACTTTTCTTTGGATTTTCCATCATATATAATGCAATCATAACTGTGCTATACCATTCTAGACATCAAACTGATTTCTCTGCACTGCTACAATTGCACCACAGAAATTATGGTAGACATAAACAAATTAAAACTGGCTAAAATTAATCTAATGTAAATAAAATAAAGTGTAACAGGAAAAAGTTACTTTCATGCTGGCAGTAGTAAGGAACAAGTCAAACTGGACAAGAATAGTTTGAGAATAGTAACATAGGGAAGTGGAATGAATATTTTATAGCAGAAGGCATTTTTGCAAGTTACCTATGAAGCATTTTCCTAGACTTACATCCTATTGGTATTACGTGTGTTGACAAAAATAATGTTTTTCAAAACATATGTTCACAGGTAAAGTGTAGAATAATGGCAGTGTTAATGAACATAGCAGTTTGTGTTTTAGAAGTTGCACAACAGAATGATGGTTATATTTAACACAATCCATAAAGGATAAATCTCCATGAATTGTGTTTATGGATGTATGTGTACCATTATATGAATATTAAAGCTTTTATTTAAACTTTCAATCAGGTATCATTTTGCTACCACTCTGTATTATAATTGTCCTGTGATTTACAGAAAGACTACAGTATTTTGTAAGAAGGTGTCTAATGACATGCTCTTTGTCTTTGATTTCAGCTCTTGGTAATGAAGGTCATGTTAAAAAGTTTGTCTGGTAAATCACTTGTAGTAGATGTGTCACCCACTGACACATTTATGGATCTACAGGCACGAACTCTTCAGAAAACTGGCTGCCTTCTTGACCTCCACCACTTTAAATATAAGGGCAAAGAAATTAAAGCAGACAATAATGTTATGAAGTTCCTCCAAGATGGTATGCTCATTGTTTGTTTTGTGAAGACTTTTCCCCACTATAAATAATACTGTTTTGCAAGAGCCTGCCACTGGACCCTGTCCAAAACCAAAGGAATCCAGTCCATCTCTTGAATCTGGTAAATCATCTAATGGAGGCATTGAACTCACCTTCCAATCCCAAAGCATTATGAGAAAACTTGACTTTCTGTGCACACATGACACCAGAGACTGATGTTTCTACTGCTTGCTTCTGGTTGAACCACTGAAGGGAAAAGTCCACCTCTTTATATGAAGACTTTTTCATACTCTTGCAGTTAGATGGTTAAGAACCACTTTTTCGTCCTTTACAAATTTTTAATTTCACTAGGGCTTTCATTTTACTGTCAGTTAAATTTATGTTTTCCAGCCATTTTACCTAGGATCCACAGGTATTAACTATCACATTTACCCAACTGATGTACAGTACACCATGACAGAATTGACTTTAAGATGCTAATATTTGAAAAAACCCAAGCATATGTAGCAACCACTCTCTTCATCACCAGGATCATTGGAACAAACCTCTTGCCAACAGCACTGATTAACAAACCCTCTCCCCTGAAGCAGACAGTATGACATGGAAAGAGGGCTAAATCCAAGCTCCTGTATATATTTATATAATAATAATTATCTGCACATGGCTAATCAGAGATTTAGTGTGTTGGTTTCCTCCATGCTTGTTGACAAGAGTAAAGAGTATTTGCTTGTATGAATGGACTGTATAATGGTTGTATAGAATGTCTGAAATTTCTTGACAATTTTTTATTATGTATGTTATAGTGAGGTATACTTATCACTATCTGTTTAAGTTGGTTTGATGTGCATATTTCCTGTTACAGGATTAAGTGAAAATAAAGATAAGGATGGACCTGCTGTATCAAAAGTAGCGAAAGGTTTAAAAGAACCAGTGAGTGCCTCAGACTCTGTAAAACCGACAAATAGTGATGACTTTATACATATTTCACATAAAAAGCTCTCGGTAAAAGCAGCTAGGAAACAAAAAAGTTCCAGAAAGGTTTTCAAACATTCAAAAAGACTGATATCTCCTAGAAATGTTGTAAAGACAGTGGACATTTCAGCAAGAAAAGTTGTTATAAATTCACAAGTAGCTCATATAAGTGTTGTACATGATAATGAAAATAGAGATTCTTGTGGTATGGAAGTAGCAGGAAATCTTGGATGTATAAAAGGTTCAGAAGCAACAGAGCAAAAGATGGATGCCAAGGACAAACTTAAAGTTGAAGATATGGATAGTATCTATATGAATGATCAGCAGAAAAGTAATGATTCTGTGTATGTAGATTATAAAAATATTCAGAATGTTGCATCTATTTCTAATAGGACATCAGGTAGTAAGAGAAAACCAGGAAGAGATATGTTACAACAGAATTCTTCAAAGCAAGATGCACATCAGATTTGTGGAATTGAAAATTTTATGGAAACTGACAAATATAAAATCCCTACAGAATCAGTGGACATTATGACCTGTAGCAGGAATATAGATTACATTACTGATCCTGCCAAAAAGGAGTTATACAAAGATGCTCCAGTTGGGCCTGGTAATTTTGTTCAAGATGCAGCATCGTTTAGAGAGGAAAGTTGTAAGGATGAAATATCATCTTTTATAGGAAAACATAAACCTAAGCAAGAGCCTGAAAATTTGAAATTGGAAAACAATAATAATAATCATGTTGATTCCATAATTTTATGTTCTGAGAAGGAAGATGAAAAAACATGTGTGGAGGGCAGTTCTGTACACTGTATGCCTGTCAGAGCTTCATCAGAAGTGAATTTGACTATACCTAATACACTAAAGATGTTGGAAAGTACAAATATGGATAAAGGTAAGTTTAGTTGTCTAAGTGGACTATTCTAGACCGCTTTGTAATTAATTTTCGAGATGGCAATTGCATTATTGTCTGTTATTGAGGCCACAAGAAATAATTAAATACCAGCAAAACTGGTGTACATAGTGTAACAATTCTGGCGTGTTCCCCAGAATCGAATCTTTGATATTTGTGAATGATGTCAGTGTCATTAGAGTCATCTCGGAGCAGTGACATTGCTTTGGGCAAGGTGTCTGGTTGATATGATCATACAGGATTCCTCCAGGTGGTTATGAATGTGACTGGGGATTCCCACTCTGGGAATCGTCCAGGCAATAAAGATTACTGGTTCAAATAACCATGGTAACCCAGGTAGACAACTGGGGATTCCCACTCTGGGAATCATCCAGGTAATAAAGATTACTGGTTCAAATAACCATGGTAACCCAGGTAGACTGGGGCTTTTCTACACATTGTTACAGACATGCTAATGTGAACCATGGAATATGTCAATATGCTTCAGTAAAATATTACTTACTAGCGTGAATCATGGAATATGTCATTATGCTTCAGTAAAATATTACTTACTAGTAATCAATGGCATTTTTGCTAATTTTCACACAATTAAATGATCAGATCTGCAACTGCCTTGTTAATCTATTATCAGTTTTCTTGAAGAGCTTGTAAGTTGTACTTGTTGATGTTTGTCTAGTAATTCAAATTGTATTGTTCTCTTCTGTTATATATAATTATTATCCTCTTATACTATACACTATTTGTACTTGATGTTCAATAACTTAAAACTGTAATGAGTCTTTGCCTTGTTGGCTGTAAACCTATTTCCCATTTTATTTAATTTACAGTTTCCTTGATTTTGTTAGGTGTCATTTGTTTTTTTCTTAGATATGTTGTCCGAAACAACAATAAGCTCAGTGGATTTGATGACTGTTACTAGCATAAGACCCAAGACACCTACAAGTAGTATCATGTATGATAGTGAAGTTCAGCCAAACACTACTGCAAGCTCAGAAACACAGTTAGCTCATCCCAGTACTGACGGAGACTCTGGTCAGCCTGATCAACTTTGTCGTCTCTGTGCGTTGCCCAGAAAGACTATGGTGTACATTTTTAGTGAGACAGGGCTTCGGCTTGGTTTACGTAGCAAGATTAATACATGGCTACCAACACATGTGAGTACATTTTCCACTTGTTTCATGAGCACATTGACCAGAGTAAGGAGTTTAGTTGTAAAAGATAGGAAAGAAAAGTTTTGTTGAAGATTTCTGTCTTCTGGGTTGTTGCGCTGTGCAGTCTGGTCGATGTTTACCAACGTTTCAGAGGTCTTTGCTGCCTCCATCATCACTCTGAAATGTCGGCAAACTTTTACTAGACTACACAGTGCAACAACCCAGAAGACAGCTATCTTCAGAACTCGTTATTACTACAGATTCTATGCTAAATTTTTTTAACATATCCTTGAACTTTTGCACAATCGCCATTGTAATTATTGTTTTTAAACAGTATTTAATACATGCAGTAAACTAATGAAGGGGAGAAGGCAAATGGATAATAAAAAATGCAGATAGTTCAAAAGGTTTTGTTTGGTGTATTCACAGAACTTCACAAATTACTTTACTTTTTTTTACATAACTGACATTTATTTAGAGAAATAGTTTTTAATGGTTGCTTGTTTTGTGTACTGTTTAGACTCCTCAATACAATACAGATTTTTCCCTAATCATCTGCTGGGTTTGTGCTTACACCCCTTGTATGCATTCTATATTTACAGTGAAACCTCTATCCATCGTTCCCGGAACTATCGTTTTCCCGGATGCATCGTCCGTTTTGTTCGGTCCCGGATACATCCCATATAAAATAATGTTACATTTTCCCGCTTCTATCGTTCCTCGAACTATCGTTTTATCGCATCGATCGTTCAAAAATCTTAGTCCCGGCCCACAATTTTCCCGCAATGATCGTTTCTGAGAAATTAAAATGCTGGGTTTTGAGATAAATTAATACCGAAAGACGCACAATGTTTTTGGAATAAACAGTAGCGGTAACCTGTTATGTCGCCCAACCAGCACATTCTTTTGGAATGAGGGTCAGCGGTGCAGGGGTGATAGTTGGAGTGAATGGCGGTGCCCATTGTCAGAAATTTTACGATTTTAATTAGGGTGCACTCATATTTCGTTCCAGCGATGCCAGATGGCATGTGCAGTGTGAATTTCTTCACAAATGCTTTTATTACAAGTACAAAGGAAAGGCTGGCGGCACTTTTCATTC